CCTGCCTCCCCGGGGGGCAGGCGCTGGCGGGCGACCACCTCGGTACCCCGCCGGTGCTTAAAGGTTACCGATCACTGCACAGTGCCCTGGTGTACCTGCAACCTGGGCACCGGGACCGCTGGAAAGCTGGAGGGGGCAAAATCTCCCACCCACATATTTCTAACTGCCAGAGGGCATATGTGCTCACCAGCAAGAGAGACACAGAAAGTACCCTCAGAGGGGTGTGGTCACACCCCAACCCCTGCACTTGTCTACCCTGTTGGGATCCTGGGCACACGTGTGTGCACACACACGCACACACTCGGTGACTCTTAAGCTGCCAGCGCCAGGACTCCAACGCCACGTGAGACCAGGCTGCCTTGGCTGACTCCGAGCCCTTCAGTACTGTCCTAATACTGGGGAGTTGCTCAGTACTGGATCACAAATCTTGCATGATCAGCGAGCCCCAGCATCTCCTCCCAGAGAACCTTCTAGCACCCCTTAACGTGCAGTCGGAAGTGCAGAGCCACGCGTGAGTGAGGGGCTCCCGCTCACCTTGGCGGTGGCGAAGCCCGTGCTGGTCCACTGGGTGGTGGCGAAGTGCACCGTCTCCGAGACGCTGTAGCCGCAGCACACTTTGGACACGAAGGAGCCCGGGAAGCAGACGACGAACTGGCCGCTCTGCTGCACGGCCCTGTGCACCTGGATCCCCTCCCTGCACAGCACCTCCGGGGAGATCTGGAGACACAGGGCACACTGAGGCATGCCCTCTCCTGCAGCCCACCGAGCCCTGTCCCATCACCAGGCCTGTTCTCGGGACACCTGCCATCCCGGGAGCACCAGGACTCTCAGAAGGCGCCTGCGCTCAAGGAGAGGTCCCGTGCGTTTCTCCGCCAGAAGAAAAAAAACACATAATTCCTTAAACAAGAAGAAGGCTGGGCCAAGAGTGAGCATGAGTTCGGGCAGGCCCAGTGAGAGAGCCGCAGCCCTGTCCACAGCCCCAGGGCCTGCAGGCAGCGGCCCAGCCAGAGGGGGCAGAAGTGTGCACGGCAGGAGCCAGAGGCGGCTGCTCCCAGCCCAGGGCCACCGCGCCTCAGGGAGGCAGACCAAACCATCCTGCAGGTCACTGAGCAGCTTTCTTGCTTGCTCCCACCCACAGCCCGTTTCAGGGTGCCAGTAGGTGGGAACAGTGTCCTCAGAGGCCAGAGTGCCAGTCCCAGTCAGACACACGCCTGCCACACACATGGCCGCATGCACACGGAGAACAACCCTGCGGTAGACATGGAGGCTGGCTGCACCGAGCCTGGGTCTGACAGAGCAGATGCAAACTGAGTCTCGGCACCTGAGAAGCCCGCCATCCGGAGCCCTCGTGGACCCTCTGGCCTGGTGCTCTCCCAAGGGCACTTTGCAGACGACTGCGGGGTGCCCCACCACGGGAACAGCG